GAGAAGATGAAACTACAAAAAGTGGTGCCCCACTAATACTTGGTCATAAATCCAAAATTTAAATTGTATTTGCTTGACTGCACATTAGATTGATAGTGAGTGGAACTTGAATAAAAAACTTTAAACTTTTGTCAAGTTCCTAATCACAAGGGAGAAACAATTGATAAGACTATTGAGGAGTGCTTGCTAGAATAGAGCATTAATGGAATTTTTACAATTACTGTTGATAATGTAAGTTCTAATGATGGTTCAATTAGATATTTGAAAAGAAATAGGGATTGGAAAGGCACCATCTTAGAACATGAATTCATGCATTTAAGATTTTTTGTTCATATTGTGAATTTGATAGTAAAAGAAGGATTTGAAGACTTGCATGAGTATTCTCAAAATCTGAAATGCAATAAGATATGTGAGATCATCTCCATTTAGGCTTCAAGCTTTCAAAAGGTGTGTTGAAAATGAGAAAATATAAAATAAGAATCTTGTATGCCTTGATGTTGAGACTAAGTGGAGCTCTACCTATTTGATTTTAGAAGTTGCTGAAAATTTTGAAAGAGCTTTTGATCGATTAGGAGAGGATGACCCAAGATATCTCTTACACTTTGAATGTGGTGATGATGATGAAAATGAGAAGAGTGGAGGTGGGAATAGGAAAGGAAAAGGGAGAGAGAATAAGCATGTTGGGCCTCCTAATTATGATAATTGGGGCAATGCCTGATGTTTTGTGAAGTTCCTAAAGTTTTTTTATAATGTAACATTGCGGTTTTCGGGATCTTTTTATGTCACATCATATGCATTTTTTCATGAACTCATGGCATTGTAAAATAGGTTGATTCATTTGTCTATAAGTGAAGACAGTCTCTTAAGCTCTACGGCAAAGCGCATGAAACGAAAGTTTGATAAATATTAGTAGAATCTTGAAAATCTAAATTTCTTGTTATATGTTGTCATTGTTTTGGATCCTTCTTACAAATTAAAATATGTGAACTTTTGCTTTAGTCAAATATATGATAGTTTGAGGGCTAGAGAGATGATCGAGAGAGTAAAGGCAACTCTTAATCGTTTATATGACCATTATCATGATCATGAATATAATTTAAATTCTAATGTTGGACATGAAACATCAAGTTCAAGTACAGCTTCTAATAAGATGGATTTTGATGATAATGAAGAGGATACATAGAGATTCTTAACATCTCAATTTGCAAAACACTTAGAAAATGAAGAAAGTATAGAAAGTAAATCTAAGGTTGCAAGGTATTTGTTAGAGAGTTGTGAAAAGCTAAGTGATTCATTTGACATTTTGATTTGGTGGAAAATGAATTCTCAAAAGTATCATATATCTCAAATAGCAAGGGAAGTCTTGGCCATGTCAATTTCAACAGATGCTTCTAAATCGACATTTAGCACAAGTGGACGTTTATTTGATCCATTTAGGAGTTCATTATCTCCAAAAATGGTGGAGGCTCTTATATATGGCCAAGACTAGTTGCGGTCCAAACCAACCCCAATTGATGTTCGAGAAGCTATGGATGAAGTGGAAAAATATGAAGAAATTGCATTATTTCATGATATTATTTATAACTTATATAATTTTTTTGGTTATATGCTAATATTTGTTTCTTTGTTTTAGAATTCTCAAAAACAACAAAACAAATGTAATTAAGTGATGATGAATGATGTTTTGGTAAGACTTAATAATCTTTACAAATGTAATTATTTTTTCTATAATTTAAATTTTCATTTTCCAAGTAATGTGACAATCTAAAACAAACTTTTCTTGTTTGTTTCTTGAGAGTTGAGTCATTGGCAAAATTTCTTCTTCAAATATGAAATTCCAAAGTCCATTAGGCCACCTAGTTTTTGAGTGGCTGCAAGAAATTTTGGATTAGTGATTAATGAACAACTTTTGTCATTAATTTTTCATTTAAAATTTATCATTGGATGGATGAAATGATTTTCAATTTATGACTGTTTTTTTTACACCTTATTTGTTTTTAATTCCAAAAGTTAGTGATGTTCAATTACAAGTTACAGGTTTAAGCTTATGATGTTCAATATTAGTGATGTTCAGCTCAGTTTATGGTTGAAACGATGTTTAGTTAAATGTTTAAGCTTTATTACAAGCTAAGATGACTTTATTAGTGATGTTCAATTACAAGTTTAAGCTTTATTGAAGATGTTCAGTTCAGTTTATGTCTGACATGATGTTCATTAACTTCAGTTACAAGTTTAAGCTTTTTTAGCAGCCATTTTGGGAGAGATTTTGCTAGACTGCTAGCTAAATGTTAATAAGCAGATGAAGTTACTGTAGCTTCACAGTCCATCACCCATCCAATGTTCTGAATATCAGATTGGATAGCTGATTCATTCAGATTTTAGATTGTATCACAAATTCACAAGCCCATTGGTCTTTTGAGTATCTATGAATGCCAAATGGCAAATGCAGCCTTAATCATGGTGTGCAATGGGCCAAAAATTAAACTTGAACTGAAACTACTAGTTTTGGGATGCATTGGACCAAGTCGCATTGAATCCAATGATAAATCGATCGATTAAGCCGATAAACCGACCCAAACCGACATTTCATGTTTGGGTCGGTTTCAGTTTGCTCCTTTAGTAACCTGACCAGGTCGGGTTGGTTGAACAAAATGTGTTAAACCAACCCAACCCGATCCGTGAACAGCCCTAGTGCCTACATACCCATTCCGATTCCAATTCCAAATACCAATTCTCACGAACCAAAGACCTAAGAGAATTCACATAAAAATATAGAAAATCTGAATACATTAATAGCATTAAATTTATGTTTGAAATAACTATGAATAAGGTACAAACACACAAGCAATGCATATTCTTCATTTAAGTTAATTAATAATTAATATTTATAAACATATGTGATTAGTGTAAAAAATATATTAAATCTATGAGAACATAGAAGAACCATTAATCCAAAAGTCCAATATACAACTATTGTATTTTAATTATTAAATCAATTTATTCTTATTTTGTCCTTTTCAGTTCTATATATTACTAAAGATAAGTAAATTTAATAGTAAGGATCCATTGGTTCGCACGCAGAATCGGAATCAAAATCCTTTGGAATCATAATCAGAATGGTCTATTCTCATAGTCTGTTTGATTCAAATAGGAATGGGAATGGGAATTAAAATCAGCAAGAATGAGATTTTATTCCCAAGGGAGGGATTGGGAATGGGATTCCTATTGCAGCCAACCAAACAGTTGGAATTGGGATAGCCCTTTCTGATTCCAGACCCCAATTCCTACAACCAAATGGGGCCTAAATTCTTAATGTGCTAATTAATGGCTATATAAGATGTCAATTAGTTAGTTTTGTATTGTAAAATAAACAGTTATTTATAGAAATATATAATCTTAATTTAAAAAACAACATTAGATCCACTAGAATTTCTAAGATACATATCATATCATATGCAATTCATAAATCTTAATTAGTAAAGCATATTCTATTTTTATTTTCTATATTTCTATAAATTACCAAATTTTAAAAATTATTTTTTGACATAAATTATTAATGGATCAAAGGATTTGATATGCCATTCATTAGTCCATTTTATAGTTCTTTCTTACCATGAAAGTCGTTGAAAATAAATATTTTTTTATGATTTTTAAGTTTCCCTAGTTTCAGGGGAAATACACGCATCTATTAAAACAAGCAAAACCATCATAAGTCCAAACATCCTTGCATTCTACTATAAAAACATCCTTACAGTCCAAACACCAAATTATACAGATCTATTGAAAATTGAATTATTAAATGAAATAAAAATTCATTCATTCTTCAATTGAATTATTTAATGTAATGAAAATTTATCATTCTTCTTCTTCCCCTTCTTTTAATAAGTTTCAAGTACTTTTATAGGAATGGCAATAAGGTGAGTTTGGGGCAGGACATTTCCTCCCCATTGGGGACAGGGAATCCCCGTTTTTTTCTGTTCCAAGGTAACCACCTAAAAGTATATCAATTTCAAGGCTATTTTAGAAATACAAGTACGGGAATTTGGGAGTATCTTAGAAATGGGATTCTAAAATCCCATGGTTTTATGAATTTGGGGAAGATTTAAAGATATTTTAAAAATTAACATTAAACCTAAAAATATTTTATTAATTTACCACCGGGTCCAAGATTTAATTAAGAAATTATATACAAACCCCATTCCCACTCCGTCACCTATTCAAGGCAAAAATCTTCTCAGTCCCTACTCCATCCCCGTTTAAGATAAAACCCCATCCCATTCAGGGCTGAACAGGCGGAGCACCATGTTTTATGGAGAAATTTGCCATTACTAAATTGTAATGCTTTTGTAGAGAAGAATTCACTTCAAAAGTCTAATGAAAAGCTTCAAAGAAAATATATTAAACAAGTAAATCACAAACATGAATCATTCTGATGATACGTGGTCCACATCATGTATCAGTCCAACAGGCAGGCACATAGGTAATCAATCAATGAATGGACGCTAACCACATTGCACCTCTGCCTTTTTTTTTGTTTTTTTGAAATCGTAGGAAAGACACTAATTCAAACCATGATTAACAAGACAATCCAATTCGTTTATTTTAGGGCTTGCTTTGTCTTGCCAGGAGGGGCACTTTCAATAAAATGTTCCACCTCTGCCTGTTCAAAAAATTTTCCACTTTACATGGAGACTAATGAAGAGGGTCTCTGCCAATAAACATGTTTTTCCATCACAATTTCAGTCATAGATAGCTCAACTAATAAGTCCGTCGATGTTCAAAAATCTCCAATTAATATTACCACTTTTCGAGCCCTCGTTCACCAGTCAACATGAACTAACTATTAACATTGGGCTGGAGAGGAACTTGTGGACTATCTGTCTGGGTTCTCTCTATGAAACAAAGCTCTTCAAAGTGAATTGAATAGGGTAAATTATGGACTATTAACAGGAACCGGATACAGCGATCAACAAATTTCATTCAATAATCAAGATTCAATAGGGAAGAAACCGCCATCACTAACTAAATGATAAAGCAAAAAGGTCAAGATTCACCTGGTTGATAGGTAAACTAACAATTGTAGATGGAAAATTTGGACCTACATTTGCTTCAAACCTTACACTTAACTGTGGCAAAATCATGCATTAAATTATATTGTTTACTCAAATATCCCGCATCCCCAACTTTACAGCCATCCCTTTCTTCGGTTACGACTTACGAGTGCAAGAGAAAACAAAAGGTAAAAGTACAAAACGTGGAGAGCAAAAAGGAACAGAGAGAACATGCCCACGTTTTCCTAATTTTAAGTTATTTCCAGTTGCAGCGAGCCTACAAACTGCACAAGAAAAGTTTCATCCTCACACCACTCCCGATGGAAGGCGTAGCACAAGCTGTCCACCAACAAGACTGTAACCAGAAAGATAAGCATTTACTAACCGAGGTTGCAAAGCTCCCTGTGCCACGAAAAAACAAAATAAAAAACCAGAGTCCTCGAACAATGTATTCCTCACCTTTTGACATAGTAGTAACAGAAGTCTGCAAGGATGAAAGTTTGGACAATTTCTGAGAGAAGAACCATGGAAGGCCACATCCCGTAACCCAAAGCTGTCAACAAACGTCCCCGAGTATCCAAGACCTATCAGAGAGAAAGGCATTAAGGCATTATCAATCACCCTAATGGTCAGGAGAAACAGCAACCACCCTGAGAGCACTAGAGCAGACAATCATACTGCTGTAAGTTGAAATATATAGCCATGTATGGCCAGGTAGAATTTGTTGGATCATCATCATCTGACCCTGTCCTTTCTAGTTTTCCCATTCATCCATCTCAATATTCACTTTTCTGTCATGCTCATTTTTTGGACATGTTTCTTGACTGCCAACACTCTATTCCATACAGCATTGTTTGACCTTAGAACCATGTTATAGAATTTTCCTTTTAGCTCAAGTGGTGGTACTCCTGTCACATGAGACTCTGGATGCATCCCTCCATTTTACCTGACCTACTCTAATTCCATATAGGCAACATCTTCCTCAATATTTCCCTTGTTATGGTTATTGAAGGTAGCAGAAGAGATCACATTGGGTTATCTCTTTGCCTTCAATCATATATAAAAGCATGCAACATTGAATTGTTCCTCTGATGGGATCTCCAATTCTAGAATAAACCTAATTGGATGGACTCGCATATCCAACCTTCAAGCCTATCTATTTATCGATAACTCATCATATTATATCTCAGGCTGTCTAAAAGGATATTCAGTAAATGAGATGCACCAATAATCAATCCATTCCTACCAGCAACCTGGCTCTACTCTCAGAACATAAATAAATAGAGAAATAATTCAAAGTCCAGCCATATAAGATTTCTGTCTATGAATCATACCTGCAGGACCCAATGTGCACAACTCAAGAACCTTGCAACTCCCAATGCAAATACATAATGAGCTGTAAATGGTTCAACAATCTGGAAACATCGAAAATATGTGTTACCAGAGGAAAGAAGAATGCAGAATGTAAACTATGTAGTATTCCCTTTCCATCCCTGTATCCTTCTGCCCTTATGCATACCTTAGTATTCTGCATTACACGCAACTGAGGAAGTACTGAAACAGCTTCAAGATATACACAGAAGGCCCAACAAATCCTGTTCATAATATGATGTGATGTTGATGGATGAATGGCTAGAGCTAATAAAAAACAAGGTATCACCTACATCCAAATCAGAAAATGATGTGAACAACGAGGAAATATAAAGACATCCTTAAGAGAAAAAGAAGCCAAACTAACACAACTAATAATATGATCTCTAATACTAAATGGAATAAACTACAAAAATCAGAAAACTAATATCTTCATATAACGGGCCAAATATTAAGGTTGGGGGCCCAAACCCCAACATGGGCTTGTTAGGCTTGCCTCAAGTGGTTTTTGCAGTGACATTGGACCAATATCCTAGGAATGTGAATGCAGTATATTTAACATCACACTAGCTACTTGAAGCAATGCAACTAGGAGATAAAAACATAAATTGAATGTCTCGAATACTTGAATTGTTGAATGCTTGAAGCACTTTGGTACAATCCACATATGTTCGTTTCCACTTGCACATTTCACTTTTTTTTATAAATAAATTTCATTAACTTTCATAAGAATCAAAGGATAACATCTGTTACAAGCATCCCAGTGCGAGGCGCGAGGTGCAGCCACACTCTTTAACAAAAATATATAACAGATTTACAAATGGACCCAGTACATCTGATCCCTAGTTACCCCTTGCTTAGCTAGAAAATCAACCAATGCCTTGGCCTCCCTTCCCACCCACTATATAGTTAAAATCATTTGTTGTGTGAGCCATTTGAACTTCTTCATTTCATTTCTGTAACACCAAATCACTGAATCTGGGTTCTTTAGCCAACCCACCACCACCTTGGAGTCCCCTTCTATCATCAATTTCTCCACTCCTAAATATTTTGCAATCTGAATGCCTTGTAAGTCTGCATATAGTTCTGCCTTTAAAGAATCACCATGTCCCATTGGTCCTGAAAATATAGCTCTTAAGTTTCCTTCCTTGTCTCTTACAGCCCCTCCTATGCCAGATGGACCTGGGCTGCCTTGGCTGCTCCCATCAAAGTTTAGTTTCAGGAATCTTCAGTGGGAGGATTCCAAACTGACCTTGCTTTAATTTTTTGTACTGCACTAAAGACTATAAAGCTCCAATTCATCCAGATATCACCAAAGGAGAAAGATTTGAAAAGGTTCAATGTTTGTAGCCAATGTATAACCCTGGTCATAATACATTCCATAATTTGTTGTTTATTTCTTTCCTTCTCTTAGAAGATTCTTGCATTTCTTTCTTCTCATAATGTCCAGATCACTGCTGCTCTAGTGCACCTCCACATTATTCTTCCCTTTCTCTTCAGCAACCCAAATATTTGACAGATCAAACAGCATTTTAATCTCCATTGGCATATTCCACCTGTACTCAAACAAGGAGAAAAACCAATTCCAAATTTCTTTCGCAAATGAGCAAGAGATTAGTAAATGAAAGCAAGATTCACCATCAAAGTTACATAGAAAGCACCAATTCGGGGAAATACATAGAGGTCTTTTCTTTTGCAATGAATCCAGAGTGTCAATTTTCCCAAGAGCCATTTCCCAACAAAAAGCATTAATTTTAGGGGGAATCAGCTGAAACCAAATTTCTTTCCAAGAAAAGGACAGAGGAGGCGGACTGGCAAAGAGCTTTAAAAAAAGATGCACAAGAAAAAAGGCCTTTAGGACTTAGGCTCCAAAGTCTTCTATCAGGATTAGGAGGCTCTAAGCAAACTTTATCAAGGAGAAGGAGAAGCTCTGACAAACAATTAACCTCTTCATCCCTCAACCCCCGCTGAAACCCAAGATCCCAATTAAGACTCAAAGGCAAAGAAGGAAGAACAAGAAAATTGGAGATCACCTCATTTTTGTACAAAGAGATACAATACAAAGAGGGGAACAACTCCTTTAAAGGCCGGTTACCAACCCAGATGTCTTCCCAAAAACAAATTAAATTCCCAAAGGGAGGAGGCTATGGATCGCATTCCAAGGTGCTACCAAGGTAGCCCTTCGTGATACACCAACATCCCAGCCATTCTCCAATCTACCATGTATGCTAGCCACTATCTCAACCCACAGATTTTCCCTCTCTAAAGGCCATCTCCATAACCATTTCCCTAGAAGTGTTGTATTCTTCTTTCTTACATTCCCAATACCCAATCCACCCTCTTCCTTGCTTCTACACACCACCTCCCAATTTACCAAGTGATCCTTCCTGACCTCTCCCAGCTCCCAAAGGAAGTCTCTCATGAGTTTTTCTAGTTTCTTTTCCTTCCTTGGTGGGATCCTAAAAACAGAGAGGAAATAAATGGGTAGGTTAGCCAAAGTAGATCTTATCAGAGTAATCCTACCTCCCAAAGAGATGTAACTTCTCTTCCAAACAGCCAACCTCTTTTTACATCTTTCTACAACTAGGTTCCAAAAGCTGCTTTCCTTCAGGTTTGCACCTAGGGGTAGTCCTAGATAGTTCAAAGATCAAGGGGTGATATCACACTCTAAGCAATTTGCTACCAAGCTCAGGTCATTCTCCTCCATATTAACCCTTGCTATGCAACTCTTATCTAGGTTGATTTCCAGATTGGATACTTTTTCAAACTTCTTAATCAAGTCTTTCAATCTCCTCACTCTCCTAATGTCTCCAGATTGATTTCCAGATTGGAACATTATCTCTACCCACTCTCCACCCCCTAAACTCGTCTTCCCTATCTGCCTTAGAAAGGAGTCTACCAAAGACATACGCCACTAAAGTAAAAAGGAAGTCACCTTGCCTTGTCCTCTGCAAGCTGGGAAAAAGTTTTCCACCACTCCATTAACAAGGACAAAGAAATGACAAGACCATACACAACCAAGCATCCAGTTACACCATCCTTCTCCAAACCCTCGTTGTTGCATTACTTTTAATTGAAATTTCCGATCCACCATGTCATAGGCCTTTTCTAAGTCAAATTAGCTATCAGGATTTGATCAATTATTTGTCTTCCTTGCACAAAGGCTCCTTGAAACTAACTTATGAGGGAGGAGACACTGGTCACCTTGTAGACACTGGTCACCAAACTAATAGGCCAAAAATCCTTTGGATGGCTAGCATCAAGTTATTTTGGAATCAAGGCCAACAAAGTTGCATTAACTCCAGGGCTAACAATATGTGTGTTGGAGAATTCTTTAAAGACTTCAAATAAATCATCTTTCAACACTTCCCAATAATCCTGATAGAAAGCCATTGTGAAACCACTTGGCCCAAGTGCTTTAGATCCATTCATGGAAAACACTGCCTTTCTTGTTTCCTTTTCCTCAAAGTCCCTTTCCAACCACCTTGTTGTCTCCTCATCTAGTAAGGGCCACTCCAATCCTTTTAAACTCGATCCTTCCTCCAGGGGTCTTCCATAAAAGGATTTGAAATGATCCACAAAGATTCTAGCAATTTCATCCTAGTTCGAGATCTACTCCCCATTCATTTCAAGCCTAGCCACGAAGTTCTTATGCCTTCTTCCATTGGCCATCGCATGAAAAAATTTTGTGTTCCCATCCCTTTCCTTTATCCATTTATGTCTTGACTTTTGTCTCCAGGATATTTCCTCTCTCTTCAGGACTTCCTCCAATTCTTTCCTTAATTTCCATCTCAATTCCCTCTCTTCTCCTTGAAGGTTCCTTCCACTTTCTACATTATCCAGCTCTTCAATTTGAGAGATAAGAGTTCACTTCCTTTCTTCTAACCTCCCAAAATGACCTTTATTCCAATCCTTTATTTTAGATCTCAATCCTTGCAATTTCTTATGGAATTTGATTCCCTCCCACCTTATCCCCCTTAGGTCCTCCTTCCACCATTCCTTCACTCTTCGAATAAAAATTGGATCTGTCAACCACATGTTTTCAAATCTAAAAGGAGTAGGACTATGTAAGAAGCATTTTGTTCCTAATCTAATGGGGTGGTGGTCTGAAGTGACTCTATGCAATGTTTTTTACACCAAACCTTCCCAATGGTTCTCCCACCTTGTGTTAAACAAAAATCTATCCAATTTTGAGCATAATGGGTTTTCCTGAAAGTTGGACCAGGTAAAATTTGTTTGCAACAAGGGGATCTCCTTCAATTCACACAAATCTATGAATTCATTAACCTTCCTCATACTAGTGGTGATAGATTGATGGGGATTATATGTTTCATTGGAAAGTCTTATTACATTGAAATCTCCTCCCAAACACCATGTACCTACACCAAGCCCCATACTGCATGCAGTTCCTCCCACATATCACTCCTCTCTCTGTAACTATTTGGTCCATAGACATTAGTTAGCACCCAACTGAATCCATCCTCCGCAATTTTGAACTTAGGCCATGTTCTCTTTCGATAAGTTACTTACCTAGGTAGATGTAATTACCTGGTTAAGTTTTTCCTAGAAAACACTTACCCGAGTAACTGCATTTACCCATGTTCTTTTATTTCCCAGGTAAATAAGGCAATGACTATTTTAGCCGTAAAATATACCCCCTTAACATATATGGTATATTTGCCTATTAGTTCTTCCATTGATTCCACCACTTCTTCCATAAAATCGTTATAAAACCCGAAGCCCCCCAAGAAGGAGCAGCATCCACCCATCTAATTCCTCTTGACTTCCACAAGCTTCTAATGAATCTTCTATCCAACTCTACTAGTTTGGTTTCTTGCAGCATCACCATATCAGGATCCTCTCCTTTTAGTAAGACTTTTATCACACTCCTTTTCCTTGCACTCCCCTAACCTCTTACATTCCAACTGATTATTTTCATTCTTTCACTTTTTGGCTTGACCCCCTCTTATTCTTTCCACCCTACTTAAGTTTTTTCCATCTATCCCCTCTCTCACAAAATTCAATATCACCCTCTACATTAGATATTACTCTTTCTACCTCTGTCTTTTTCTTCTTCTTTTCCTTTTTTTTTCTTCATTCTAACATACATCTTCACCCTCTAATTCCCTTGTTTTTGTGTGCTTTCCTGATTTCCTCCTTTTTTTAAGGTCCTCAAAGAATTTGCTAATCAAACCTCTACTTCCTCATCCATTCCCCTCCTAACTTCTATCTCCCTCCCTTCCAACCTCTCTATCCCACCTCCATTCTCCTTTCTCAAGATATCAGGTT